GGAGGAGGAGGAGGAGGAGGAGGAGGAGAAGAAGAAGAAGAAGAAGAAGAAGAAGAAGAAGAAGAAGAAGAAGAAGAAGAAGAAGAAGAAGAAGAAGAAGAATCAGCAGCAGCAGCAGCAGCAAAGATCCTGTCTCAAAAAAAGGAAGAAAAAAAAGGATTTTTTAAAAAACGGTTAATTTTATGTTGAAGACTTTCACCTAAACAAAAACAGGGGCCAGGGTTTCTATGTAGATCGCTCTAAAGCTTCCTAGGGGTGCTCTTGGGAGGAGGTGGGCTGTGGGCGCTATAGGTGAGGGCCACCAGAAGAGGCAGGTCACCCTCTTCCACTGCTCCCTTCAAGCTGCTTCCTGGTACTGGGAGGTGAGCTGCTATTGCCTCACCATGCCCCTGTGCCACCCCATCTACCTGGAACTGGCATCCCCAGAACACCTGCCAAAATAAACCTCTCCCTTTTTTCTTTCTTTCTTTCTTTCTTTCTTTTTTTTTTTTTTTTTTTTTTTTGTATTTTAGGGAAGGGTCTACAGGGTGTTCAGGGTCTCACTACTACATCAGACTTGTATTGATCCACCTGTTTACAGCCTCCCAAGAGCAGCGATTACAGGCGTGCGCCACCACGCCCAAACTCAATTGCAGTCTCAGCATACCCCGGGTGCTGAGCTGGCATGGCAGGCACGAGGATCGAATCCCCGGCCCCTGTGCCTGCTTGCAGGCACTTTAATCCGCTGAGCTATTTGGCCGGCCCAACCTCCCCTCTTTTAACAGTAGGTGTTGGGTATTTTGTCTCAGCAATGAAAAAGCAATGAAGGCTACAGGTGAAGAAGACAGTTTAGCCCCACATTAGCGCCGAGTCTGGGAAGGGACACTATCTGCCCCACAGATGGAAACGCAGTGTGCCAACTGGCGAGCTTAAGTGCTTTGGGGACCATCGTGTCCTCTGGTTGTCAGTCTTCCTGTGCCCCAGAGCCACTCAGACAGCTTTCTATGTCCTTATTCCTAGAGATTCTATTTCAAAGGTCAGTGAGAAAAGGCTCGTACAGATATCAGAACTGTAGAAAGTCCCCCAGCCTTTATCGAAAGGATGAAGAAAAAAAGTAGAGGTCAGAAAATAGCAGCTAACAGTAATAGTAGCTGACATGGAAACAGCATTTACCAGGAGCTGGGCATCATCCTGAGGTTGAGCACATGTGCGTCCAACTACTGCACACACCAGCCAGTACAAGGGAAGTGGAAGCGAAGAGAGCGTACGTAACTCGCTGAAGGATGCATACCTCATCCTAACAAAGTAAATCTGAACTAATCTTCACTCCTGTGATCCTTAGTACAAGTGAGGCATTGCTTGTTTCATGGTAGCTGTGCATATCATTTATTTATATGCTTTTCATTTTATTTTTTGTCTTTTTGAGACAGGGATTTGCTATGCAGCTCCCAGGCTGGCCTTGAACTCACAGAGATCCTCCTGCCTCGGCCTCCTGAGTGTAGGGATTACAAGTGTGCACCGCCACGCCCTGCTGTTTATTTATATTTTTCAATTCTTATAAATATGACCCTCCTGGAGTTCAACCAGGATCTCTAAAAGTGAAGCACAACTTCTATATTCCCTGTAAGGTGTTCCAGTTTTATTCCCCTAATTGTATAATGGGCCATTTTCTCCAAGACATATAGGATTGGCACACTGTGTGTTAAATGCATCCAAACAGCTGCCCCCAGTTCCTTGGGGCTTCAACACAGTTCCCTGGTGGCAGCCTGGCCCTGTAGTCTGCATCTCCACCACTGGCCGTCAGCTGGGATGGCTCAACAGGCATCAGGACCCAAGGCCCTGTGGCAAGCGCTGCTAGTCCTACCTGAGTGGTTTTCCACTAAACAAGCAAAAAAGGAAAACCCAGAGACTGGCAGGAATGTGGGCGGAGGGGCCCTTCCCAGGGGAGTGGGCCCATCTGCCAGCTGCTAGTCCGTCCACTAGGTTATCAGGATGGATAGAGGTTACGAGAAGGTCACAGTGATTTTTGAAAATTGATGCCAATGGGGATTTTATTTGTTTTGCAGCACTGAGAATCAAACCCCAGGGCCTCACACACGCTGGACAAGCACTCTACGACAGAGCTAAAACCCTGTCCGCCCGGCTACCCCCAGGATTTTATGTTTAAACTGACATTCGATTCTGATGGTTGCCTCTCACTGATTTCCACCTGGGAGAACTGAGAGAGCGGTCGGTGCCAGACAGCCCGGGGCGGGAGTCTGCGGGGACTCTGCAGGGTCCCTTGCTACCTTGCTTCCCTTAAAATCCTCCTTCCACCTTCTCTCACTGCTTACCTACGCATAAATCGGCCTGTAGGATGTATTTTTGTCTTTGGGTAATTTCCAAATCCCGGTTTCACATTTACGCAAACAAATGAAAAAGGATATTTTTTTGTTGACTTCTTCATTTTTTATTTCTTCTCAGCCTCCTAAAACCAAGCAGCATTTTTCTCCTAGACTGCATTATATTAAATTGGCTCAGAGATGTGACCTTTAGTTTGAGCCCCAAATCTGTGCCAGGTAGCAAGAAATGTGTGGTTTGGGAGGAGAAAAAAAAAAAAAAAAAAACACCATAGAATAGGCTGAGTTGATTTATTTGATTTATTTTTTGGTACTGAAGATGGAGCCTCAGGCCTTGCACATGCTAAGCACGCACTCAATGGCTCACATCTTCGGCCCTCGTTTTAGATTTAAGGAGCAAAGGAAATGACTGGTCAGCTTTCTCACCACCGGGCCAGAATACCTGACACCTACAGCTTATGGGAGAGAGGTCTTATTTCTGCTCACTGTCACAGAGGATTCAGAGTAACTGACACAGGGTCACCATGGCAGGAGCTGCTCAACACCTGGCATCCCAGGAGTTGAGGAAGGGCTCCATAAAGGAAACAACCAGGGATGGACAGAGTCCCCATTGTCATGCCAAGACCCGCTCCAACACACCCGGAAGTGTGTTTTACAAAACTCCCAGGCATCTCTCAAATCAGTCAAGTTGACCTTCATGACTGGCTGCCACAGAAATTATTTTCCTAAGAGGCAATGGAGAGGGTGGAAGCTACACCCGTTTCTCAAAAGGTTGAGGAACCAAGAGTGAGCGGATCCCAGTGAGGACGGAATCCGCTGCACCCGTGAGGAAAACCCTGGCTATTTCACCAGTATATCACAGCACCCAAAACACAGCCCGAGAGGGTCTTTCATCCTCACCACCCCCTCCAAGGCATTTGCTGTCCTGGGCTACTGACCCCACGCACTTGTAGGGGACAGAAAATTGTCCCACTGCCTTTCAGTGGTCAAAACCTATCTCCCTGAGGTATTTGATCTCTTTTTCAAATTACTTTACTTTTAAAGCTAATCTGCCACTCAGTTGATACTAACAGTCAGAACTGCAACCTGCTGCAGATGCTAAAAAATGGGCCCAGGCTTGGGCCTCGACCCCATGCCCTTTCACTGTGCTGGATATACACACGTCTTACAACTTAGACCTGGCCAAGCTGACCTGCTCACTGGACAGTAGGCTATGTCTATGCAGACAGCGATCATCCTGACAGTACCTACGCATGGCTTCACTTTTCCAAGATCTGTTCTGAAAAAGGCTTTAAAAATATACTTGGCCTGGCTGGGTGTGGTGGTGCACACCTGTAATCCCAGCAGCCAGAAAGCTGAGGCCGGGTTATCACTGTGAGTTCAAGCCCAACCTTGGCTAAATCTCAAGTTCAAGGCTCGCCTAATCTACTCAGCAAGATATTGTCTCACACCACCAAAAATAAAGAAATAAAAAGAAGATGGATAGATGGATCATGCATGAATGGATGGATGGATGGATGGATGGATGGATGGATGTCCACTGCCTAAAAGGGAATGCTGCCTGTAATGGAGACAACAGATTCAACTTTCTTGGAATAAGGGCTACAAATGACATGAAGAACCTGGAAAACACACACACACACACACACACACACACACACACACACACACACACCCTCCAGCCATTACTCCAACATAGCAACAATCCTCTGTTATTAAGCTTGTAGGCATTTTTAGGTTGTGATAATAATCATAATTTTCTATAGTCCATAACCTCCAGCATTATTACTGTCCCTTCATCTTTCCTCAAGCCAAAGACAAAAGGCCATTCCTTAAAAAGACACTAAGGGAGACTGGAGGTGTAGGTTAGTGGACTATCCCACGCCTAGCACACACGAGGCCCTGGGTGTAATCTGGGTTCAATCTCCAGTATTACAATACAGGGGGGTGGAGGCCGGGGAGATGGCTCAGTAGGATAAGCACTTGACTGGCAAATTCAAGGATCTGAGTTCAATCCCCGGTTCTGCCAAAAAAAATAAATAAATAAACAATACAGGGGGGTGCAGAGAAGACCAAAGTGGGAAAATCTTAGCAGAGAGAGGCCTGAGAGTTACCCCACAATCCCACATCCACCCTCAGTTTCGTAAGGAAGGCTGACCCCACCAGGCAAGGCCTGCTCCACGGAGAGGCAGACACAGCAGGTACTGCCAGGTCGGGCATCGGCCCACGCCCTACCTCTGCGGCATATCGGTGGCCCAACTCTTACACTGCAGGCTCTCCAGACCTCAAAAGCCTTCGCATCGATGGGATCCCTAATGACACTTTTTCTTCTCTTCAGACTCTCAGGAATAAAGCAGGTATTTTTAGCTGTTACCACTGCGTTTTTAGCATGAGCACCTCACCTCTCACTCATTATTTTATGGGAAGAAATCCACCCAAAGGGCACTAACAGTCCTTAATACCTCATCAGCTTAAATGTCACTTCTTCAGGAATGCCCCACGCCCAGTGCACCCCACACCAGGTTAAGCACCTGTAACACAAACTTCAGTAACCCTGAATTTTTCCTCCAAATCATTTACGAGTTACAGTTCTGCAAAAACACTGGACTTGCCCTAGATTTCCCTCAGTCCCTCTGCCCCACACCCCTAAAACCACTAGCACATCTTAGTGACTCTACATCCAAAACATGCCTCAAACCTTACCATATCCCTCCTTCTCCACCCCTTCCATGTTTCCAGCTACCCTTGTCCCCCACTAGGATGACTCCTGCGTCTCTCTCACCTCTTTCTATCCCCATTAAAAAGCAGAGTGTCCCCCTTAAATTGATGCACTAGGCCACACCCACTTTAACCACTGTGGTGCCTTTGGACTGAAA